CTAGGGTTGCCACCCGTACTTTATTATAAAGTATTGTACTCTATTTCGACTGTGTGTACGTTATATTTTACAAGACACATAAAGTACGCAAAAATACTTTATTTTTATGCCGAGTACTTTTTTTAACCATTTAGTCGAGAAATACTTTATGTAAAGCCTGAAAAAATGGCAACCCTAGATGTATTCTGCAATCAAATCTAAGATTTCGCAACTAGTACATGATCAAAGCGTCCTCTTCGAGATTTAGAGGGATGAAGGTAAAAAAAATGAAACTAACGCAATATATTGTCGATATTATTTCATTTGTCTAATTAGAAAGACTTACCATGGTTTTATATACCTACTAAAAAAAATAGGTTTTACTTGCGCCTTCGCTCGCGTTAAATACGTGTTAATGACCATCGACTTATATCCCTCGGGAACAGTATTTTATTTATGGATAAAAGACACCCTATGTCTGTTTCTATAATCCTGAATATGTGTACAAAATTTCATGACAGATTATACTCGCGGCTTCGTTCGCATTGATATCCTAAATACGTCAACCATACCACACAAAACTGATTTTTTCTATTCCTCGGAAACATTTTTTTTTCTGGATAAATGGCACCCTATGTCCTTTTTTACACCCATGTCAATGTGTGTACAAAATTTTATGATAGGTTTTACCCGCGACTTCGCTCGCGTTGATGTTCTAAATTTGTGTCAAAGATCATCGACGACCATATAAAACTAATTTTTTGTTTCCCTCACGGGAACAGTATTTTTTTCTGGATAAAAGGCACCATAATTTAAAAGCTAATAATAGTTGGATAGGTATGATTTTCAGGTACACTTAATAATAATGTACAAACAACCAATTCATATGTAGGAAATTACTTTTTTTAATATGAAATATTATTCTGAAAATTCATTTCTGAATTTTCACCTACTACACACTACCTCAAATTAATGAGGGAAAAATTATTGCTGTTGTCACACCCCCGCCGGGAATCGAACCCGGGACCTTTGGCTTTATGCACCACAATGTATAATG